AGTTAGGTCTTGATGGTGTCAAATACAGAGCAGCGATGAAGCAAAATACCAGACTGGCTATAGGTTACATCTCTCAGGGACCAAGTCCTTCTCAGATGACCCAGGGTGATGTGGACACAAAGTCACTGAGCTCATTTCTCCATGTGGGATTTGTGGCATAGCATGGGCTTAACCACACACACCTCGAGAAGTGGATATGGGTGTATATATGATGACAAGTGAAAAATACATCAGGTGCTGTGACCCCACAGTCCTGAGGTTGAACCGGGCAGTAGTTGCATCCATGCTTTCCTTGTGGTGGCTTCAGTGAGAGCTGGAGAGTCCTCTGGGCTCTGGTTAAATTTTAGGGTCTGGAGTCATTGTTAGCAAAGTGAATTGAATTGAGAGCTATCTGCAGATGTCCTGCCCTCTAGGTGTGCTACATACTCTCCAGTTGATGGCTTATACCATGTTGTTTTAGTGGCAGTACTTACAAATACTCATCAGGAGGGAAGGGGTCAACACCCCAAAGCCCAGTGAAATTTGGATTCTCTGTGTTTGTAAGCAGAAATCCACAAAAGGAAAGAATTCTTCTGTTAGGAGCCTATGCTTCCAGGCAGAAGGCTTATTTAGCCCCTCTATCCTGATAACATTTTCTCTTCCATCTTCCATACCATATGGGCAATTATGACATTGTGTTTGGAGAGTGCTGTGAAGTGTTCCCCAGCAGGATTAGAAGTTGTCTCTTACACAACCTATGTCTGCCCATTACCTTGCAGACACATCTCTTCAGGACTGTCTGTTTTGAAACTAGGTTGGAGAGGACCATCTCCTAACAAAGTCCCCCAACCTTTGCTAGCTATCCCAGGACTCCAAAGGGTCACACAGCTGAAACAGGGAACCTGGCACTAAGAACCATAGAGAAATGAAGTCAAGATTATAGTGTAGCCATTGAGAGCTCAGACTCTGGAGCCAGATGGTTTTAGTTCAAATCCCATGCTTATTAGTTCCACAGCCTCAGGCATATTATGGAATCCCTCTGTGCCTCAGTTTCCTCTAGTGGGAAATGCAGTACATATGGGTCCTATATAATAAGACTGCATGAGGACTGACTTGGATCAGCATGTGAAAGGTTTGGCACAAGCCACACACACACTAAGCTCTTGTTAACTGCTAAATGTTATTATTTATTAAAGGAGGGATTTTCTGCATTCAGGGTGATTCTTTTTCTTCCTTATGTCCTTGGAACCTCCACTCCATGACCTTCTCCCTAATTTACATTTATGGAGCCAGCTGTTCCAATAGCCTCTCTTTCTTCTGGTTGGGGATGGGAAGGAAAAGCACCTTGCATATGAGATCTTATTATTTTTTGGTATTGCTTACAGTGTCATCTTAAACCAATATGCCACAGCTCATTTTCATTCAGTGCTAAGGGCCCTTTAAACCAGCCATTCCCCATTTACTCTGTTTTAAAAAAGGAATGTCTTCGGGTTTCATGTTCCTTTATTGTATTTTGTAAGGTACAGAACACATATTGGATGCTATGTAAATGTGAAATACTCTAACAATAGTAACAGACAGATGAGAAACTCAAGGAAGTGGAGTCACCATTTTGAATTTAGCTTTTTATCGATGGGCTGAGTGATTTTGAAGAGACAATGTGGCTCCAAGGCTAAAGAGCCCGCAGGGATTTTGATGGCAAAGGTTTGAATCTCAGTCACAGCAGCAGCTCCGGTGACCCAAGGCAAGCAGCTTCCTTCCCCTGGACCTCAAATTCTCCCCATGAATACTGGGCTTGATGCCAAAAACTACCTCCCAGGGATGCTAAGTTAAGCTTGGCTGTATGTGGCTGTGCAGATTGTGCACTGCTGAAGGGTGCCAACTGAGGGGGCAAATGGGGCATAGGATGTGATCCATACTCTGCTATCAGTCTGTACCCTGGTAGTGGGTTGTGCCCATCAAGAGGAAGAGGGTGCCCTTCTATTTTGCACAATAGTATTAATATGGGCTAGTAGAGATCCCAAACTGAGCAACTTGAAAGCAGTGGGACACAGAGTTTAGCAAACAGAATGTACAGATTAATTTAACACCATCACTAAATGCTTGCTATGTGCAAGGCCCAATTCTAGGGCTGAAGACATGGATGCAGGCAATTAATACCTGTGATCCTACCCTTTCTTTTCCAGCCCTTCCTCCACTATATTCAGTCTGTGAACAAGCCTTGTCAATCTCCCCCCCCCCCCCCCCCCCCCGTTTTCTCCATCCCACTGCCAGCACTGGGCTTCATTATGATACAAGGACTCCAACCGCTACTCCTATCCTTCAAACAAAAGCAAGAGGGTTTGTATTAAAATTAGAATCAGATAATATTACCCCCATTTCAACCCTTCGGTGACTAAATTTAATTCGGGGTTCTCACGATGGTTCTAATCCTGTCCCCTGAAGCAAAACTAACCATCTTGTCCTTTAAATGGCCTAGCTCTTCAGCTAGTCTAACCCTTTTGGCTGGAACACTGCTTGGTTCTCTCCTTTAGTCATCCCTTTCTCACCCTTCAGTGCTAAGTGGATAGTCAGCTCTTGCAAGAAGTCTCCTTGGGCCTCCTTGTTAAAGTTACCGAGATATTCAATTGTACAGCAGCCCAACTTACTTTCAAAGTAGAGACTTCCACATACATCTTCGAACTCATCTGCTAGATTGTTAAATACCAAACTAGCGAGGACCTTGCTTATTAAATTCTTCACTGAGGCCCTTGCTAAATCTCCGATACACAGTACTTAATATCAATTATTCTTGTTAGACCAAGTTGATAAATGGAATCCATCCAGGAGAGAAGTGTTGAGATTACATAATGCAGGGAAGAGTACTATGGCAAAGGCTGGGTGTGCTGGTGAGGTGAGGGTGGCCCAGGGGGAACACCGCTTTTATCATTTGGTGATTTTTGTGGTGCAAATACTTCCTTTTGCCAGTGATTTTAATAACTCACCATGGGTAGCAGATACTCAACAAAGGTTGGTGGATGAAGCAATACTTGATTTGTGTTTTGTAGAATCTGTGGTTTGTTGGCTCAGACCTAATTCTGCTAAACTAATTAACACAGCTCTGCTTCCCAGTAGCCCACATTTAACTGTTCCCGGTTTTCCCTACTCAGCCTACCTCTGCTTACCTGGGCATTATCACATGCCTTAATGCAAGCCTCAAACAGTCTGGCTTTCTCCAGGTCTGGCTTTTTATTTAGACTGAGGAACATTGATTCCCGACTATCTTGCTAGGGTTTTTTCTATTCCTGTGATGAAAAACCATGACCCAAAAGCAAGTTGGGGAGGAAAGAGTTTATTTAGCTTACACTTCCAGATCATAGTCCATCATTGGAGGAAGTCAGAACAAGAACTTAATTAAGTAGGGCTGGATCCTAGAGGCAGGAGCTGATGCCCAGGCTTGCTTACTGGTTTGCTTCCCCTGGATTGCTCAGCCTGCTTTCTTATAGAACCAAAGACCAGCCCAGGGATGGCAACACCCACCATGGGCTGGGGCCTCCTCCATTGATCACTAATTGAGAAAATGCCCTACAGCTGGAGCTCCTGGAGGCATTTCCTCAGCTGAGACTCCTTCCTCTCTGATGACTCCAGCTTGTGTCAAGTTGACACACAAAACCAGTCAGTACACTATCCTAGGCTGTGGCCGTAGTAAAGAGGAAAGGTCAGGTTACTTTTCTTCCACAATTCCTATTGAAGCTGATGATTGTGTTTTGTTGCTGTTGCTGCTTTTGCCTTTTGATATGGAACTATTTGATTAGTGTCGGTCTCTTATTAAGGGACTATAAACTCCATCGGAGTAGGGACTGTTCTTTCTGTTCATTATTTTCAGCCCCTAGCACTGGTACATTGTAAACAATAAAATACAATAATTTTGATGATCAAATCACTCGGGGGGAACTTTCTAAGGAAGGTTTGTACCTATGTACCCTATAATGAGATTGATATGTCTTCTCTCTTCGGACCTCTTAAGGGATGGGAAGAAGAGTAGCGGATTGGGACTCCTATTTTGTAAAAGCTATCCAAGGGGTTTGCCTTCATCTCTTCTCTCAAACTCAATTAAATGGTGTCTTTACAGGATTTAAACACAAACATGACTTGATTAAATTTGTTATTTACACAAATCGGCCTTTGTCAGTAGGGAGGACCCCACAGCGGTAAGGAGATCCGTGAAGGGGACAGTAATCAGCCAAGTAATCTGCAGGTGGGACTTAAGTAACTGGCAGTGGAAACATAAGAGAACACACTCAAGAGTTAGAGAATCTACAGGGTTTGGTTACCGTTCCAACACGGACGGACGAGGCAATGGAGACAGACCAAAGGGAAGAGGGAACGAACGCCAGTGAACAGAGGAGAGACAGTCCGTACTTCTCGAATATTTCTTGCAAGAAAGGAATGAGACAAGGCTGTCTACAAGTTGTGAGTACAATAAGCTAAGGCGAAAAGGGGCTGAGCTGGGCTCTTCCCTCCCGCCCCCTCCCCCATTCTAAGAACTGCAGAGAACAATATTTAAAAGGAGAATTTGAAAAAAAAAATTATAGGAAGGGACTGAGTGGAACAGTTTGGAATGAGGAAGGCAAACCTGGATAGTGTCATAGAAAATAAATGATAATGTCCAACAGCATCAAATGAGTGATGCTCAAGTTAGACAGCCCGAAAATACCTCTAGTGGGTTTGGCGACAAGGACACTGGCTGCAACAAGGACATTTTCCGCGGGGGCAGAAGCTGCAGTGTGGAACACAGAACACACAAGGAAGGAAGTGGAGACACTAAGCGGAGATTACGCTCGAAGAAACTCGCCTGTGGACGGGGAAAGAGACACGGTATGATTGAGTAGGACGTGGGGAGATTTGAGCGCGCTCACAGCTGAGGGTGGAGATGGAGGGTGGACGGGAACAGGAGATAGAGGGGCGTTAACGCCTTCCCGCCCTCTCCATTTGCCAGCTCCGCCCCTACGTGACGTGACCAGGCCTCACAAAGACTGCAACTCCCAGGAGGCACCGCGGCGGGGTGGAGCCAAAGCCTGGCGCGCACCCCAGCGGCGAGCGGAAGAGCAGGCGCTTCATGGTGGCAGCGGAAGCAGAGAGCGACGGCGTCCCGGTAACCACGAACCCCTGTCTCCTATTCTTTCGCACCCTGAGCTGGGGCTGGTTGCCCCCGCTTCTCCCCTCCCGCCCGGGACAGGACCTTCTGTTTGGTTTTTCTTTTTCTCGTGGCTCGCAGGGCAGGTCCCCGCCTGGGGCGGGGGATTTTAGGAAGCTCCGGCCCTTCGACCCCTAAGGGCCCCCGGACGCGAGGGCCCCTCTCAGGTCCTTTCTGTCTTTTCAGGGATCACAGGCCCTGTCTGCCTGTCAGCCCTAATGCTTCTCGTAGGGATCTTCTCCCTCCAGTGTGTCAACAGGTAGCGGGGTCTGTGGGGACCCCCTTTGGCCTCGGGCTAGGGGTCACCGAGGTCGCTCCGAGATGACCTCTGGGTCGCAGGCTCCCGGGCAGTGCTCGATGGTGGCTCGTCTGCTCCGCTGCCCGGAGCCCCGGGCTATGGGCTGGCAGTGAGCAGTTTATAAAGTGTGTGTGTATGTGTGTGTGTGTGTACTTCCTGCTCTTCTTGGACGGTCCTCGGAAAACTTCCAAATCCCTTTATCAAAAGTTTCCTCAAAACTTTTTTTTTTTTTTTTTTTTGCCGCATCTGAGTTGCAAGGGAAGGAGCACACGGGTTTAGTTTAGTGTTTGGATCTTGAGAGGATGATGGGTTGGCGCCGTGCCGGACTTGTGATCTTTTGTAGTCCTGTTACTACCACCTCCGTTTCCCTGTCCGAATGAAATGGGGGGGGGGGGCAGTCTTTTTTTTTGCTTAAGTGTTATGGGTCTCAGCAGAAATGATGCTGTGTGAAACGTTTGGACTGTAACGCCTTTTTAAAGCTTTAGTATTGCCCCTTGTTCGGTCCAGGCCAGTTGCATTTTAAAATCACGTTCATGTATTTATGAAGACTGGAGTTAATAAATGATCCCTTTAGAAACTGAGATGAAACAGACAAATGTTATGCTAGGTTTCTACTGGAGAGGTGACATTAGGGCCCTACCACCTGTGGAGTCAACTTGAAACCTCAGGGCTCCTCAGAATGTGGACTGCATTCCACATAGTTAGCTAGCTGCCCCTCCAGCTCTGTTACAGTTCCTCTTGTAAGCACTACACATTAACAAGCGTTTCCTAAGACTTGGAGCTACCCAGGCTTGGTGTGAACTTATTACCAGTGTCTAGACATTGTGGTTTTACCCTCCTTTTCAGGTCCTCATGTAGCAGGTGCTTTAGCTGTTTGGTGTGTACTTGCTAGGAGTCTTTCCTCAGAGAATTCAGAATATAAGTAGCTAATATTGTAGTCTGTTTTTTGACTGTAAAGATTTGAGATTCTGAATGGCTGCTTATTGTTGTGTTTGTGAGCCCCTTCCTTGCCCCCTTGTAGAGAAGTTTACAAACAAATTTTAAAAGGATTTGGGATATAGTAATTTTTAAATTTGTTTGAAATTGTTTATTGGAAAAATTGTAAATGTGGTTTAGAAAAATAAGGATAGAAGGGAAGTGTATTAGGTCAGTGTGTAATGTTGAACAAATTTGAATTCAAATCCTGGCATTGGGACTTACATTGGGCAACTTAATTGTCATCTCTGAGCCCATTTATTTCTAAGATGGAATTAATAGCATTTACTTCACAAGATGTTTGTGAAGATTATGTAAGTTGTGACTTTAAAGACATTAGTGATAGTAAGGGCATGTAAGTTAATTTTTGTTGCTGTTACTGATGAATGAAGACAAGAGGTGATGTTAATTTTAAGTATTTCCCTGAGATACCATTTGTTTGTTTGTAAAACAAGGTTATTTATCCATACTCTACAAACTGTAAAACTATAGTAGATGCTGGTGGGTGGTGGTGGTGCACACCTTTAATCCCAGCATTCAGTAGGCAGAGGCAGGCGGATTTCAGTGAGTTCAAGGCCAGCCTGATCTACAAAGCTACACAGAGAAACCCTGTCTCAAAACAAACAAACAGACAAACAAAAAAACCCAAAAAAACTATAATAGAACTTGGACATGGTGTCAACACACTTAGAATTTATCTCATCATTTGGGAGACGAAGACAGAATCTCAAATTCAATGCCAGTCTGGCCATTTTAGTGAGATTCCTTCTGGAAATCGCTACCACCACCACCACCAAAAAACCCTGTAAATAGAAGTTCTCAGCTAAGCTTGGTGGTGGCACTCGCCTTTAATTCCAGTACTCAGGAAGCAGAGGCAGGTGGATCTCTAAATTCAGGCCAGCCTGGTCTACAAAGTGAGTTCTAGGGCAGCCAGAGCTGTTATACAGAGAAACCTTATCTTGAAAAACCAAAACAAATAAACCAAAAAAGTTCTCAAAGTTACAGATTTTCTTCATAACAATTTCATTTTTAACAAACATTACAAGGGCTGAGATGAATAGTTGGTTGGTAAAAGAGTTCATTAGGCTCTGTGTTCTCTATCTGGTACTAGCAATAACCACCACCACCACCACCACCACCACAAGCCTTTATTAAGCCCAGCACAAAAGTCAGAGGCAGATTGATCTCTTGAGTTTTTTCCTATCCCAGTCTAGGTAGTGAGTTCCAGATCAGAAAGGGTGATACAGTGAGAATATATATATATTCTGGAGATTTAAATTTCTTGTGCCTTGTTAGTTGAAATTGGACTGGTGCTTTATTTTTGACCTGTACTAAGTATATTTCACTGTGCGGTGTAGCTTGTAGTAGAAGAGTTGACTGTGACTCCGATTATTGACAAGAATAGAATTTTGTAGAGCAATTTTGTGTTTCTGTTTACATGATTACCACCACCCCCCCCATGCTCGTGTACACACAACCAGGTCAGCCAGAGCTACCTGGTGAGACTGTCTGAAACAAACAAAAACAAAAATTTGGCCTAAAGGAGTCTAGGAAACTTGGTGACCTGTGGTGAGATACTGTTTATGATTTATTAAAGCTTGCCTGAGGATTCAGAAAGCAAGGTCACTCACAGGCCATAGAAGCCAGGCACACACCTTTAATCCCAGCAGCCAGAAGCTAGGAGGTGGTAGTACACACCTTTAATCCTAGAACTCAGTATTAAGAGATAGATGGATCTCTGTGAGTTCAAGAACCCTCATCTACACAAGAGAGAATCAGTCTAAAAGAGAATTGTAGGTCACACCTTTAATCCCAATATTAGGGAAGAATATAAGGACAGAAGCAAAGTCTCAGTAGAGGCATTCATTCTCCAACCGCACAGAGGAGAGGCAGCAGTTTGAGATTGGTGAAGAGCTCATTTGTGGATCAGCCGTTTCAGCATGAGCTAGAGGTGAGAGCTAGTGGTTGGAACTTTGCTTTTCTGATATTCAGCTTGAAGCTTGAACCCCAATATCAGTCTTTGGGTCATTTATTTTTGGTGTTACAGTGACCTCTTTTTTTTAAAGGTGGAAACTTATTGATTACCTTTTGCTGATGTCCTGGCTCTGTATGTATCTATAAGAAATAAGTTTAGAGAAGCCAAGGAGGATAGCCTTACATACATAAATGATTTGTTGATGAGGGCAAAATCTTTTTCTCTGTGTAACAGCCCTAGTTGTCTAGAACTTACTTTGTAGACCAGGTTGATCTTTAACTCACAGAGATCCAACTGTCTCCTGCATCCACCCATCTCCCCCACTTTGCCTGGCTATGTCAGAACAAAATATTATGGGTTATGAGTTGAAATATGCTGGGCAGTGGTAGTGCACGCCTTTAATTAAGCCCAGCATTCAAGATCAGTGTGGTCTACAAAGCAAGTTTCAGGATAGCCAGTGCTACCTGGAGAAACCCTGACTTGAAAAGGCAAAACAACAATAACAAAATAAAGAACTGAAATATTATTTTTATTTACTTCAGGTGTCTTATTGACTGCCAGATATCTACACATTTAGATGCTAAAGAAATATTTCCCTTATTCCATATTTAAATATATATATATATATATATATATATATATATTTTTGTGTGTGTGTATGTGTGTGTGTATGTATGTATGTAGATATATACACATTTAGATTTTAAAAAGAAATTTCTCATTTTTCATATATATATATATATATATATATATATATATATATATAATTTCATCTTCTCTAAAAGACAAAGAAGCACTTATTGTCTTCCATGTTGTGCCCTCTGCTTTTTAGATTCATTCTTTAGTTATGCTTCAGCATGATTTTTTTTTTTGCACAATGGTGTATGTATACATGTGTATATATGTATGTATACTGACACACATATATGTATATATAAGTATAATAATAGAAAGTTAAGTACATTAAAAGCTACTTTGTACATATTTGTGTTGTTTCCTTTGTTTCAAAAATTTGCTTTTTGACTCCTTGTTGCTTAAAAGGACTTTGGAAGGTAGAAAACATAGTAGATGCTCAGTGATGATTGATGAATAGGAACATTTTGTTGATTATCTTATGCTATATGGCACAATTAGGTGAGGCCATACTGTATTGTGGAAATACCTTAAGCTTTGGAGTCAGAGTTCTGAATTCAGTCTCTCTGTGCTGGGTGTAGCCTTAGTTCCTACTTTTGAATTCACTTCATCATCTGTAAAGTAGGGATGGATGTTAGCCTGCATGGCTGAAAAGAGACTAGAGATAGGCATATACTAGTCAAGTTTAGTAGAAAATAGAATTGCTCATATTAATATTTTTAGTTTTTATTATTTTATGACAGTTACAGATTTTGATTACTCTCTTAATGTTTCACAGGATCAGTGTGTTTCTTTGTTACCCAAGGGTAAGGTGGTTGACTGTGACTATGGAGCCTGAAGCATTGCAAAGCTAATTGGCCCTCATGGAGTTTGAATCTGTGACCTGTTCTCATTAACTTCATGCACTAAGTATTCACAAATATTCACGGATATCTGACATATTTTTTAATTTAGTATTCATGTACCTCATTAGATACAAGTAGATGAAACAGTGCCAAGAGTAAAAGTATAGATTTTTAATTAAAAATTTATGAAGCTAGCCCTCATATTATATATATAATATATATATATTATATATATAATACAACTGGCAGCCTATAGGATCAACCACTTACCTGAGCTATAGTTTAAACATTTCATTGTTGAGTTATATTTATGGAAGACTTCCTACTCCTAGAAATGAAGAGTAGACTAGTCATGTGTTGAAAGAGGATCCAACTTCTGTGCTACCCACCAGAGAAGGTGCTCTTAGCTTGCAGGGAAAACATGAGTGAGCCCAGCAGGATGGATGAAGCCTGGGTAACTCCTAAGAGCTTATTGAATTACAGAGAAATTTAGTTGTCAGAGCATTAGATAGGAGAAAAGTTATAGGGTGTTTTTCAGTGGCAGCAAGCCTGCATTTGGAGAGTGTTTTCTCCTCTGAATAAGCCATACACCATTTTTTCCTCTATGGTGTGTTTTTTCACTATATCATATTAGTTTTCTGTGTAGTTGGCCATGTTTCAAATTCACTACACTTTAGTACTATTTGTTGCCTCTCTCTTGTATCTCTCTCTTTTTATGCCAAACATGACCAATTTAGGATTGGGGATCAGAGCAGACATAAAGAAGCAATATTGGGAGAAAAGAAAAGACACAGTATTGGAGTCAGCAAGTTCTGGTATCTGTGATATTGTGAGGGTCTCGAGCAAGTGCATTACTGTATATGATGATACAAATCTCTGGAGTGGCAAGTGCTGACCACTAATCACCTAACATTAAACTTGATGCAGAATTGAAAATGTGGGCGAAAGGTGTGTAGTATTCTTTAATAACGAAACTGCTTTTTAAGAAGTAATCTGAATGTCTCTTATCTGTTACTATTAGCTTACTGTTGGGCAGTTTTGAATTCTTTGCTGTAGAATTTCACAAGAGAATTAAGGAAAGAAGGGGAAGTACTTAGATTTAAATCCTGTCAGCTTTATACCAGTAGTCTGTTTCTGTTTTCATAACTGTAAAATGGGCATAATACAACCAATTCTACTTTAAAAATGAAAGGAAAAAGTGAAAAACGTTTTTGAAATAGCATTAATAATCACAGGGGAGTGTAAAGAATCTGATAAGATACTGTCTTATAACACAGGCAGAGTGAGGGGCCGCCAGAGACAAGTCCCACACATCAGGCAGGACACTTGCCACAGCCTCTTAGGAAGTGCAGAGAGGGCAGCTCCAGAAGGTCATTCGAGAAATGAGAGGTGGATCATTAAAGGCCCCAGGTGAGTAAGTGAGAACAGCTCGCTGAGTTACATCTGAGCTCACTGAGTCTGCTGTGTTTTATATTTGAGATCTTGCGTTTGTATTTCACCAGGAAAGGAAGGAAAAGCAGGATAGCAAAGTAACATGCTCCTGCAGTTTTTACATCACCGTTTTCCCCTTAAACAGTAAATATACTTTGTATATTAAGCGTAGAGCCACCAAATGTTTGTATTATGGTCCTTTTAACTACTTGTCCTTTTACAGTATAGTTTAACCACATTTTAGAAAATTGAACAACTTACTTTTAAAAATATTTTTACCTAAAAATACTAACACATGTTATTGTAGAAAATGTAGGTAGCACAGACAACTTCAACCAGAAGTTAAAACACAAAACTTTTTTCCATAAGCTCCAGATCTAAACAACACATACAAGGCCCATATTCTTCATGTGGGTTCTTTCCTGGTATTTCCCTCTCAGCAAGTCTTCTCACTGAAGTTCTGTTTTCTTTAAAGTAAAAAAAAAAGTGTAAGTCCAAAATTACACTGTAAGTTAACCATTGGTGGTAGTTATCTTTCTATACCTATTTTAACACTTCCATAAACTACTAATATACTTACTTTTATTGCTATATACAGACCATATATTATCCATCTCTGTCTTAGGATCCAGCAAAGTGTTTCCTGTACAGTAGGTACTTCGAGTGTGTTTGACATGAATTATTAGACCCTCTGAATGGAGATTGCCTTGTTTAAACAGGTCTTTCCGGTTGTACATTGTTTCTTTGGACATTCTTAAAATTGGGAAAAGCTTGATTTGGGAGAGTGTATTTAATATGAAGCCATTGAACTGGTAAAGGTTTTTTTGTTTGTTTTTTGGTTTTATCCCCCCCAGTTAGCTTTTGTTGTGTGACAGGCACTCTAAAACTTTTTAATAAATACCAACTATTTTGTTCATGGTAAGTAAATACTCTACTACTGAGCTACATGTCCGACCAGATTTCTGTTTTTATTCTTTTCCTCTTTCCCTCTTTTACTTTCCTTTCACAAGTGCATGAGTGTGTGCATGTGTGTATGTGTGGTCATGTCCATGTGTGTGCACTTGCAAGTCTAGAGGAATAGGTCATGTGTCTTGCTTTATTACATTCCACCTTATTCCTTTGAGGCAGGGCTTCTCTGAACCTGAAACTTGTCATTTTTCATCTAGCTGGCTGACCAACAAGCTGATGCTGGGGTTACAGTGTAAGGCCAGGCTATTTACTTGGCTATTGGGGATCTGAACTCAGGCCATGCTTATGTAGTAAGTGCTCTTAAACCTACTGAACCATCTCCCCAGCCCAACCTCCTCCTCAAGGAGGTGGAACCACAGTTATATAGGATCCTACAACCACACCAGATAGCCCGAAACCTACCAGACTACCTCCAAATTCATGGTTTCCATCCTGTTTCAGCCTTCCAAATTGCTAAGATTATAGGCATGGACTACTAAACTGGCCATTATTTCTCTTTTCAACTTGTTTATCAGTTTCTATATTTGCCCTCTGACTCCCATCATATTAAAACAATGGTCTTATTTTGTAAGTGATGAGGTACATGTTTACTGTAGATATTTGACCAATCAGGAAATATCAAAATCAACCCACAATCTAACTTTCCAGGTACAGCCAGCTTTTAAGTCCATGATTTTCTATTCATAGCTCCTAAACTTTGTTTTGTTGTTTGAGGCAGGATCTTACTGTTTTACCCTGGCTGTCCTAGAACTCCCACTGTAGATCAGGCTGGCCTCCTGCTCACAGAGATCCACTTGCCTCTACCTACTGGAATGCTTCAATTAAAGGCGTGTGCCACCACTGGCTGGCTCTGTAGTTCCTAAATTTGAACCTTTCTGAAAATGAAAAGTTGTTTTGGGTGTGAACCCAAGGCCTTGAGATTGCTGGCGGAGTGTTCTGCACCTTGCCTACATCCTCAGCCCTGACAGTGAGAGCTTTTTGTTTTATGTTTGTGGTGCATTCATTTGGCAGCAGAATTTAGACTAGTTTGATGTAGTGATTTGTCATTAATAGTTCTTAAAATTTTTGCTATTTAATTTTTTGTGGTGCTGGGTGTTAAACCCTCGACCTTGTGCATTTTAGGCAATTATTCTACCACTTAGCCATATCTTAGGCCTTCATGTGTTTAATTGTAAATTATCCAAACCCTAATTGAATGTGATCCCATAAATGACAGAAGTTTTGAGAGTAGTGTTTGAGAAACCCTACGGATTGACTGGAGAGTGTTTCAGCGGTAGTGGTGGTAATGTGCACATAGAAAGGAGGTGTCAAAGAAGAGCAGTAGGGATAGGGAGCCAGAGAAAGACTCTGGGAGAGTCAGAATACAAATTTGTGAGTGTGACTATCAAGTATATTGTGCCATTGATAATGGCATTGGGAAGGGATCTCAGGTCTGGGAGAAAGATAATGATTTCAGTTTCTAATTTGATAAGTTTTAAGTATATTATTTATGTGGTAGTTTTAAATATTCATTAATCTTAATGGGTGCTTCCTTGTACTCTGTTTTTGAGAACATGAAATGATCCTAGCAAATATATATTCTTGGTGATGGTGTTTTGGAACTGATTTTAGGACAGTGGAGCATACCAGAAAACCAATCTTACAACATGTAGGTATATCCTTTGACTCTAAAGGAGTGTTAATTCTGCCTGACCACCCATTTTGTTTACCTACTTTTTTATAAATGATGTTTGGTAGTTTCTAAAAATTAATCTGCAGAGTTATGAAGTTTATGACTGGAGAAGGTTTCTGAGTAATTATTGTGACTGCTGAAAATATACTCTGAGTGTACATTGGTTAAGAGAGTGGATTCAGGAAGTATAGGTTTGTATGATTTTGTGTGTGTGTGTGTGTGTGTTAGTATGTATCCTAAATGAGTTATTTGTTGGGTTGCAGCTTCCTCCATTTTAAAAATAGAGCTTGTACTAAAGGTCCCTACTTGATGAAATTATGTTAGGGATTAGCTCTTAGATTTAGAGCAATACGTGGCAAATATTAAGAGCTCAGTAAATATTAGCTATATATTACCACCTCCCAGATAACTGCTACTACTATCACTTTTATCATTTTATTTTAAAAATCGGTTACGTTCTTGTATAACTGTATCTTATTCTAGTGGAATGATAAGTTGCTAGAGATAAATTTGGAGCTCAAAAGAGCAGGTGTAGACTTTTAAAGGAATGTTGTAGAGCTTCAGGAGAGAGGAACAGAAAAGACTGAAGATGTGATATTGGGAAAATATATTAGAGAAGTGGATGGGGCAGGAGAAGAAACAGCAAGGAAATTGATGGAAGGTTTTGAGTGAAAGAAACTTCTATATGATTGATTATCCATATAGAAGTGATCTTAATTAGAATTGGATTTGGTTGTAGCCAAATAAGAGAGACTTAAACAAGGTAGAAATTTCTTTGTTAATGTGAAGAATCCCAGAAAGCTTCATGCTATGGTGTTGTGTTCCGCTATGTACAGATTGTGTTCTCTTACAGTGTCACTTGAGTGCACGATTAGTTCCCAGCACTGAGATGGGAGGGTAACCATAAAAATCAGTCACTCCAGTTATAGATCAAGCGCTACAGCCCTAGCTATTTCATCCGCATTCCACCTGGCAGAAAGGAGGAAGGAAGGGAATCAATCTCTCTCCCTGAAAGGATACTTCTGGAGTTATATATACTACGTTTGCTTATATGCCATTGATAAAATTGGGTCACATACCACAGCCTGATGCTGGAAAGGTTGGGGCTGTAGACTTTGTTTTGAATCTTTAGTGTCCGTGAATGAAGACATACATACTGAGAATGTCTAAAACTTGCTTTAACCAAGCCACATCAGCAGTTCAAGCTGAACATCTTTAGCATGAAAATCTGAAATCCAAAATGCTCTTCAGTGCTCTGGTTCCCATGTTAGAGTAAGGGATACTCAACCAATACCTTGCTTTTAGAGTCTGATCTTTTTTTTTTTTTTCTTTTAAATTTTTTGCAGGGTTTTGTTGTTGTTGTTATTTTTATATTCCAATCCCAGTTCCCCCTCCCTCCTCTCCTTCTCTCCTCTTGCTCCCTGACTCCTCTTCCCCACTTCCTGTCTGCTCCTCGGAGGGGGTAAGGCCTCCCCTAGGAAGTCTAAAGTCTGTCTCATCTCATTGAGGCAGGACCAAGGCATCTCTCCACTCCCACACCCTGTGTCTAGGCTGGGCAAGGTATCTCTCCATAGAGAATGGGCTCCACTAAGTCAGTTTGTGCATTAGAGTTAGATCTTGGACCCACTTCCAGTGGCCTCATATATTGTCCCAGTCACACTATTGTCACCTATATTAAGGGAGTCTAGTTCCGTCTTATGCTGGTTCCCCATTTGTCACATCTGAGTCAGTGATCTCTTACCAGACCGAGTCAACTATTTCTATGGGTTTCTCCATCATGGTCTTGACTCCTTTGTTCATAGTATCGCTTCTCCCTCACTTTTGATTGTACTCCAGGAGTTCGGCCCAATGGTTAGTTGTGGATTTCTGCATCTGCTTCCACCTGTTTTTGGAAGAGGGTTCTAGCAACTCTGGGATTGTGGATTGTAGGCTGGGTATGTTTTGCTTTATGTTTGGTATTCACTTATGAGTGAGTACATACTATATTTGTCTTTCTGGGTCTGGATTACCTCATTCAGGATGGTTTTTCTAGTTCTGTTCATTTGCCTGCAAATTTCAGGATGTCATTGTGTAAATGTACCACATTTTCTTTATCCATTCTTCTATTGAGGGCCATCTAGGTTTTTCCAAGTTCAGACTATTACAAATAATGTTGCTGTGAACATAGTTGAGCAAATGTCCTTGTGGTGTGAATGTGCTTCCTTTGGGTATGTGCCCAACAGTGATATTGCAGGGTCTTGACGTAGGTTGATCCCTGATTTTCTGAGAAATTGCCATACTGATTTCCTCAGTGGTTGTACAAATTTGCACTCCCAGCAATGGAGGAGTGTTCCCCTTA